TTCCTGGGACTCAACAGTGCACCCAAGTCCACACACAAGGCTGAGCCTGGCTTTCACTGTCAGTGCAGCTAGTTTTTCATTGATACATAGCAGCTTATGCAGTAAAAAGTACTTCTTCAGGCAAGAAGGACTAGGGTGTTTTTAATACTATTATTTCTAGCATATGGACAGGGAGAGGCAGAAGTCTGCTTTGTGTAGTGCATCTTGCAGCTGGTTTGTTCATTTCCATTCCCTGAGGGACTATTCCAGAATTTCACTGAAGTGGTTTCAGAGCGGTTTCTCCCTTAACCCCTTTTGCTTCTCCCATCCTTAGTGTTGCATTGCTCCGTCACAAGGCTGGACCTGAAAGTAGTCAACTTTGTGCAGGGACAGGGGTTATTTCCTTGCTGTCCAATTCTGTATCCTCATAGCTTCATACTTTTTTGTTGTTGATAAGATAAAATATTGGCTTTGCTTCAACATTCTACTAGTGAGAGAAAGAGCCACATGGGTTAATGCTCCCAAAGGCAATATTCCGCCCTGGACTTCAGCCTCTGTCCCTGTGCATCAGGAGCCAATGACCTATGCAAACAAAGAAACAACTTCCTTTCTCCAGCCAGTTTTGATTCGGATAGGGAAGGCTGAGAAGCCAAGGAAGAAATCCAAGCAGCCTACTTCATAATTTTCATGAGAAAAAAAATATAAATCAGCTCTCATCTTGACCATTGGTGTTTGAAGATTAAAGTAGCTCAAGGGCTATCACAGGCAACAAGCATAGCAGGAAAATTAGTTCATTCTGACTCACAACAGAGTGATCTAATTTAACGGGGCACTGACAAGGCTATCAGGTATTAACTTAGCTCTGATCTAAGTTAGCCTGATTGATGGTTGTGTCCTGCTACAGCCCTCCATATGAAGCGTTTGAGATGTTACTTGGATTCTGTACCTGTAGTGTCACCAACTGAGTGCCTACTCTGACAATACCTGGGGCCTCTTACTGTAGCCCTGTGTTTAGCCTGAGGGAGAGGACCAGCATCTCTTAGCGGTGTATGCTCAGATTAGAAGGCAAAGTCCCTGTAGGCAGGGAAAAAAATGCAGTTGTAATTAATGAGCCACTCCAGTCACACAAGGGGGCAGAAGAGAGGCTGGATTGGAAAGCTTCCTTCTGGCATTTCCTGCCTTTGATTTCTTAATTTTGCAACCTGATCTCTTTCTTTTAAGGTACTTGAGTATGTAATTTCTTAAGCTTCTTTATTTTAGAGCACAAGAATTTTATACAAAGGCCATTTGATCCTCCTACCAGATTTAAACCACTGTGTTAATTTCCACAGAACTGTACTGTTACAAATTACTTGTTTGTGTCTTTGTTTTTACTGGTTAGGGAGTAATCTTTTCTGACTGAAAAATTAGAGTTGTTCCAGCCCGTGAGAACACTTCAACCTCATCTAAAATCTTTCCCTTGAAGGAATAAAAGGCCAGTGAGGAAAATGAATGATGTGGCTATATATAATAATATATAATATATATATAATATATAATAATGATATAATGGCTAGGAAAACTATGGCATTTCAAAGTTCCTCATGATTTTAATGGTGAGATGAATGAGACAGAGCCAGCTCCCCAAAACTGAAGTGCTCCTTGTAAGTTTATGGGTCCTGAAAATAAAATCACACTTCATTTAGATTAACAACAAAAGGAGAAAAAGTAAGAACCAGTGCCCTGATACTGGAGATCTAGTAAAAAAAAAAAAAAGAAACAAAAAAAGAAACAAAGAACCACTGAGAATTTTGTCCGTTTGCAAATGGGGTTGTATGAAATTGGCAGCATCCTAATACTTTGTCAGCCAAATTGGCCACATCAGACTATCTGCATGCCCTTGAGGCTGGAATAGTAACATACTGTAATGTGATGCTCTAACAAAAGCACCTAATTGTGAAGAACAATCCATTTGCATCAAGATAAGCAGCTAGTAATGTTTCCCTCTCACAGCCACTTACAGACACTGACTTTGGCTACAAATGACTGCCTAGCGCGCTTTTCAGCCTTTCACACTCTTTATTGGACCTTAACAAAGCTGATATTGTCTCATTACCCTAACCTGCTTTCTGGTTAGTGTGAGTGACTAACAAAATTATGTCTTGGTCTGTGATTCATCTCGAATAAAGTATTTTCCAGTCACACAGCAAAAGCGTTGCTGAAAGCGGAAAGATTTGATCTTTAGCACCGAAGCCTTTGCTTGTGTGCTCCTAAAACTCAAGCTTCTTGTACCATGTTATTTATTAGTATCAAACACACCATCAGTAGCCAAAGTTGCTTCTGCTGTCAGGGCATGTCTACAGGCATAATGAACTTGGTAAAACCTGCAATGCACAGGAAATTAAACGTTCAGAAATTACATGCACTGTGGGAAGCACGTGGTGTGTGGGATTCCCACGTGGTTGTTTGGCACAACTGAAAATGTGAAGATGATAGGAAAAATCAAGGGGACAAAAGGCCCCAAATCCTTCGAACAGAAAACAAGTACGTATTCAATCACCACATGGCTCTAACTTCCTATGGCAACTCCTTACCTTACAAGACAGTCTTTGTGAAGCGAATAACTAGTCAGGGGAACATGTGGAAGGCTGCACAGTGGTGTTAGGGATCAGCAAATTGGTTGGGTTTCTGAACTGCCAAATCCAGCATAGAAATGAAAGTAAGAGAAGATATGCAAAGAAGGAAGATGTGATACTGTTTAACAGACATGCAGGCTTCATTATTTATAGCTGCAGAAGAAAGAAGAGACATTTTGAAAAATGTGATATAGGAGGAGGATATTTGAATTTGGGAGATTCAGAGTTGAAGGAGCATCCGAGATTTTTTGCTTTAGTAAACCTGACTACCCCAATGGTGAAGGTTCAAGGTACTGTAAAGATAGTACGTGCTATCTCCTCAGCATTCATCTCCTAGAGGCTTGGTTCTTGGAAGCATAGAAAAGCCAGGCTGTTGTTTTGTGCTGTGCTGGAGACGTGCAGAACAGGAATCAGCATGCAGGGGACTGGAGCTGAACAACCCTTGGTTGACCCCTTGCAACATATGTTGATTGCAGTTCAGATATGATGGCTGCAGGTCAGAGGTTTGTTTGACACTGAGATCCAGAAGTGTGGGAAAGGAGGATGAAAAATTAAATCACTGTTAGGCAGGATTATATTTGCATTTGAATTAAGACCTGTGTGCAAGGCAGAAAACCCTATTGATGACTCTCTGCCTTTCATGAGGGCCAGTTTCCACATTCGGAGCAGCAACAGAGGGAGGTTTCTCTTTACATCATGCTGTAAACAGCATATAGACCCCAAAGGCAGGGCCAGGGAGGGCCAGGGCTGTCCCAGTATGTTATGCATTGCCTAAAACCAGATGGAATAAATTAGGACTGCTCTGTTTGTCATATATGCTGATCCACATATGCAGAGCCAGACTCCTGGCTTAACTGGCTTGCTTTTCCGCAAACACTTTTTAGTCCCTTACAGTGGTGGATAAAACATATTTACTGGTATCTTATCTCCAATAGTCTGTAATTTTTGTCCCTACAGTGCTTTAATATAACAGTGATGTCCATTTTAACACAGGCTGGAGCCTCTCCTCTCCTGGTTCTTATTCTTTTTCATTATATATTTAGGATGTTTCCCTCTATCTCCCTTTCCTTTTGGTCAGTCAAATGAATTAATACTTGTTCCAGATGTTCCAGGATTACTTTCCAGTATCATGTCCTGGGAGCTATCAGTACGTTTTAAATATGGAAATTACAAAAGTGTTGGGGGAAGGAAAGCAAATTATACCAACATTTGCTTTAGAAAGTAATACTTTCCTCTGGCTAGCCTCAGGCCCAATGCATTTATTCAGGATTTAATTTGCTGTATCCATTTAATAATTTTAAAAGGAGGTTGCAAAATACATAATAAAACTCTAACAAATATAGATATAATGAAATAGATACATATATATATAAAGGTATATATATACAGTTTAAACAAAAAACGTTTACCCTGTTTTATGCTTTTGACACGCATTTGTCATCTCACCTTACCTTTGCACTAGAAGATGTGATTTTTCACAGTGCATTGTAATCAGAGCACTTGTTGATGTTGGGTTATACAATGGCAATGCTGGTAGGTGGCACGGAGCATGGCAAGACAGCGCTGTACCCTGTCGGAGGGCTGTGCCCAGCCTGCTGCTCTCTGCCAGGATCATCCACTTCTCCCTTCCACGTGAGGAGGGAGGCATTAGCATGCCCCTAGTCAGAGCCAGCAAGGAGGGCCAAGCTGGGACTACGCAGGGACTGCCATGGGTCCGGCCTTGCCCCCTCCCTTCCACCCCCTGCACATCCTCCTTGCTGCCTTGGCTGTGGTACAAAGGCACAGTGAGGGACTTTTTAGGAAGAGAGAATAAAGAATGTATGCAGAAAAATATCAGCCTTGAGGAGTTTGTACATGTGGTGAGGGGAAAGGAGAATAAATAAATAAAAATACTTTGTTTTGAAGTTCTTCAACCCAATCATAGGCTTTTGAGTTTGCTGAACTGACCCAGAGCAAAGCTCCCAGGGCCTGCTGGCTCCAAGACCGCAGTCCCGTGCCAAATGCACAGCACTGCATCATGGCAGCAGGCACTCAAGCTTCACTTGCCATTAGCACTGTGGGCCCTGTGCCCTACCATGGCAGAGCTGCATCTAGCTGTGGGGACAGAAGGCACCTCACTGCTGCTCAGAGGTGGCACAGCATGCCATGGTTCATGGCGATACGACTTAGAATGAATGGTTTGGGGCACGGTCAGCAAACTCAAATAAAACTTCCAATTAGGAAGAGCCAAAGTTTTTTTCTTGAGTTCAGATGTCAAAGCAGGTTGTTGACACACTTCCACATCTCTTTTTTTGTCATGTCTCCTCATGGAGAGAAAGAATCTTCTTACCCAATTTGGAGGAAAGTAGACACTGTACAATCCAAATTTTATTTCAAGGTGGGAATATGGATTTATTTGTCATTTAGTTATTTATTCAGTAGTCCCTATGAAATAAACATCATCTCCTTAGTATGAAAAGAGATTTTATGCCAAGACAACCCCAATTACAGTTTAGGATGTCTTGTTAATGTAAACATGCTTAATTGAAAGAATGAAGCAGGTTTTGCTGAAGACTTTGTCCTTCTCCAGCATGGAGCATTCCTGAAGAACATCTTTAGATAGAATGGTAACCTCCAGTCAACACAAAGTTCCTTGAAGTGCCCAGAGAAGTCCCTGCAGGCAGCTGGACACTTGCAGGTCCAATTCACAATGGTGTGAATGAAGGATACTCTCTCATCCAAAAATTGGGTACTTATGGAAAAAAAATTCATGTGATCTTTAGTTGCTCATAACTGGACCCAGATTTTCAAAAGAGCTCTGCTACAACCTAGGTGCAAGAAGATGTGCATGAATTTTCAGGCCTTAGCAGAATGCCTTTTGGATAGAAACAAAAATTCAAAAATTAAAGTAAAGCTTTCCTCAAAATCTGACCTCTGTGTCTTCTAATGCTTCCCAGATGACTTGTGTTCCCTCACTGTAAGAGGCAAACAAAGCAGAAATGGGGTTCTTCATGACAGCAACAGAATTTACTTCCTCTCCTGCTTGTCTTGATTTTGTCTTCAAGTTGATTACTTTCTCACTCTGTGGAGTTGCTTGGTCATGACTTCACATGGCCTTACAAACATCTATGAAGTGTCCAACATAAGGACTCACATGGTGAAGGTTTTGAAAAACAGTTTTCTATCAGCTTGATTTTTCCTGGCCGCCCATTGGTGCCATAGCCTAATACCTTGGATGCCTTCTGGCTGACTTTTCCCTCTTTCTTTCAAGCATGTGTTTTGAACTTCAAACTGTGCCCTGCTCTTGTAGGGAAGAAAACATTATTTTTATTTTTTTTCCATTTTGCCACATTTAACAGCAACAAGGGTTTCTGAGGATTAAACATACAGGAAAGGAAACATGGGGTTAAACCAAAGGCAGCAGTTATTGGGAAAGGTCAGAAATTCTGGTTCTCCCAACAGCTGAGCAAAACCACAAATGTTAAAAGATCAGCTCTGAGGCCTGATGCCATTTTTCTATCTTACCCACTGACAGCCCCCAACACAAGTTGTATCTCATTTTTGGCCATCATGGAGAACAAACCTTTTTTACCACCCCACCCCCCCTTTTTACGTTTGTTTGTTTGTTTGTTTTTCGTTTAGTATATTATATCAAAGTTTAGCCAATACTTGCTATGGTGTAGGTTTCCATGATCAGTAAAGATGAGAAAATGAGCAGCTGTCCTTTCATGCCCAAGAGCAAGTGACTTAGCATATGAGGCTACTGGTGGGGCAGCTGGTGGGTATCATGGCTGCCAGGACCTATATGCAGTGTAGTCTCGTGTTGGCGCATAGGATGGGTAACCCTTGTTCTTCTGGTGTGGTGGGTGCCGGGGAGTCATGTTCATGTAGTCACTCTGATGGTACATATTCTTTTTGGATTTTTGCTGTGGGAGAAGGGGGAAGAGGAGTGTGAAAACATTTCTGCAATTAGTCTGTCTCACCTGGGGTGATCATTCAAAAAGGGAGAAGAAGAAAGGGGACAGGGATCCTTTGAGCAGAGGGCTTTTGACTGTTAATAAGGGATTTGATTAATTTTCGTTCTTTGAATTAACAAATTGTCTCACCTAACTCTCATATTAACTGCTGACAATTCTGGCCCTAGGTCCTGGTTCAGGGAAGCAGTCATATTGATAAGGCAGCCTCAGGTTTAAATAGATTTACAGAAGAATTAGAACACATGTTCTCATAAAATAATCTGTGGAATTTGCCCAGCCTGAATGTAAGTCTCCATCTTATCTGCTGAGAGATTTACAGTGTTAGTTCTCCAGGTAAAGGAATGCTGCAAACTAAGGATACAAACTGATGCCTCTCACCATCAATTCTCAGCTATGGAATGACTCAGCAGAAGCAATACAGTCTGAGAAGTGAAGGCTGTCCTCATTTATTTGGAGGAAAAAAGAAATTAGTTTAATTCAAACAGAATAAGAGCAGGAAAAATCAGCCCAGGCTACCTATATCATGATTTGCCTACTATTTATAGCAGTAACACACAATGTATATATTGTTCTGAGCTTTCCTCTAAGGGACGAAAGAATCAGAGCTGATATTAATCTTTTATCTGTCTCACTATCTGGGCTTGAAAAATCTCATTTCCACTGTTGAATTCCTGCCACACAATGCCCCTGTGAGACAAGGGAGGCATCGTCTCTTTCAGAAATAAGAGCAGCAGAAGACAGGTGAAATAATTTGCCAATAATCACAGAGGAAGTTTGTGGCTACAGCAGCATTTGAACCTCTGACTGCTGCAGGCTGTTTACAAGGTTGGTGTTTTTGTGTAGCTTAAGGTTTTATTGATCAGGGGTTAGGTAAAGTGATTCCATGCTTTTTCCTTAGTACTGATCATACCTTCTTTTGCAGTTTCCTTTTTACTCCTTAAGTTTCCTTCCTATGTACATAAATATTTGCATATGCTGCAATATACTTGTAATGCTGTGGAATTGGAGGAGTTTTGCATTAGAAAATCTGATGGCTGAATTATGCTGTACATGTGGAGTGGGGCAGTTACTATGAAACGTTTTAAGCTTTTTTTATACTAATCTTATATATATGCAAGGTGTTAAATGTAAGTTGCATACTGCTTAAGCCATGCAATGCAGTCAATGCGTGTAAATCATTAGGTACAAAAACTTTATCTGTATATGTAAATATAGGATTTTTAATTCACCTAAGAGGTAATTTTGCATGGGGAAAAAGACATTTTACTAGTATGGGTGTTTGCTGGACTGATACAGATCAAAGGCTGCTACTTTTGGAGAGGAAAGCAGTTTTCCTCCAGGGAAAGCAGAACTGCATGAAAATAGACATATTTTTAGCTGCTTTCAGGAACTCAAGTGAAACAGGCTTGCCATGGCTGTCAGGTATTATATTTCAGGACCTTTTTTTTTACAATTCACAATGTCTTCTAGGCAGCTGTATTTACATCCAGCAACACCCTAAGTACATCCACACTCTGCGTACATATTATCAGGAGAATACCACCAGCAGCGATAACAGCAGGTAAAAACTGATGCAGCAAACAGCACACATCACAATGCAGCATTGTCACTCTTGCTAGGGGCAGACATGTTAGTAGCAAAGTGTGTAGCCATTACGTACCAAACGCATATAGCAGAGAGAAAATGGTTCAGATGAGGCAAATGATGGATTTGAAGCTACAGTATCTCATCAGGGCACAGCACTGTAACACCAGCAGCTGTTTGCTGTGATCCCCTGAGCTCTCATAGGAGCCAGCCTCTACAATAAGGCACAAAGAAGGACCACTTAACCTGCCTGTGTATTTTCCTATTGTGATGCCCCATTTGATTGTTTTCCATTAGAAATAGCCATATGTTGAGCAAGTGTATTTTTGCAAAACGTTTAACAGATCTCAAGCTTCAGCTAGCAGTGAGAGTGGCTTTCTGTATACATGTGACATTTACCCTGTCAGGGACTCTGGGCCCTTTATACAGGCTGCCTTGTAATGTGTTGAAAATTGCTATTTAATGACAAAGATAGAGGGGAAAGGCAGAGTGCAAGAAACAGAGCTCTCTATGGTTATTGTTGAAGTCTTTCCCACGTGGAGTAAGTAGTGTAAATCAGCTCTGGGAGATCATGATCCTAAGACTTGTCAAGTAAGATGTCCTTCTGCTGCCTCTGCATCATGGCTCACTGTCTCTTTACCCCAGCAGGCAGAACAGGATATGACCTGGGCCAGCCAACTCTCCAGAGAGATTAGAAAGCAAAAATAATGAGCCATAAAACTGTCTCAGCTTTCTTAGGGTTAATGTACAGAGGCAGACGAGAGACTACTGAGATCCCAGTGCTCCTTTTCCCTTGCAGTCAAGCTGCCAGAAATAGTGGGTACTCGAGGGAACTGCTGGATAGGCACAAGACATAAGTGCAGATGGTCTTGGGCCGACTGAGGGTTCCCTAAAGATTGTTTTACTGTAGGGTGAGCTCCTTCTGTCAGTATAGTCTCAAAGGATTTTTCCAGGAATGATTGTGCTAGATTTCCCTGACAGGGACAACTGGCAGAGCTAGAGACAGTGTCCCGGTATTGCTGGTGTGCAGGGCGCTGCCAACACTATGGCATTACTATTAGCTTTAGGACTCTACTGCAGAGGCCTGACTGCCCACCTGGAGAACATCTGGTGTTGTAACTCCTTTGGGGCATAGCATGGGTGTGCTGGGGTGAAGAAGCACGGTGATCCTGAAATGAGGGGTGTCAGCGAGTTTGTAGTAGACATGGCAAGTATAGCCTGAGAAATGAACTAAAGACAAAGATCATACAGAGCAAAGGGAAACAGTAGTTTCTTACCCAGTAGTTTATAAACACTGCAGTTATTAGCATGCTGTAGAAAGCAAGAACTCCAGTCACTGCCACCATAATCCACAAAGGAATTGCAGACTGAGGCTCTTGTGTTTGGATGAGTGTCTCTTTAAAGAAAAGAACAAAGAAAACTTTAGGTACATGAAAGCAAAAACCTCAATTTCTGCTTATTTACCTCTTGTTCCAATGTGCCATTTGTGCTAATCATCATTTTAAGATGTCTTCTTCAGGACATCAGGAGCAGGAATGTGGTTTTACCAGGCAACCCAACCTTTTTTCTTTTTTAAGGCAACACACTGCCTCAAGTAATCATGTAGAGAGTGTGTATAAGGAGGATACTGGCCTACAGAGATTTCCCAGCTTACCTTTCACGTGAATAACGGTCCCGTTGCTTTTCTCATTGTAGACATATGGGGGTGGATACATGGCCTCAATTTTGCAGAAGTAGATGTCAGTTTGGCTGGCACTCATATTCCAAAGACTGAAGATTACTTTGTCTTTATTATGACTCCCCGTACAGTTGAATTCTTTATTTGAATTACTGCTAGTGTTGGTTGTATTCCATGAAATAAAGCAAACTTCAACTGCACTGTCTGTTCCTTTGTGCAGGGAAGCTCGAAATTCCTTCCCTGTTCCATTGTATGTGTAGTTGCAGACTAGAGTTGCAGTTTTGTTAGCTACAATGAGCAAAGGACGCTGAGCCACTAAAATCTTGTTTTCTGGAAGGGAGAGGAGGGGAGAAAGTGAGAAAAATACTTGTTTATAAAATACAGTATGAGACTTCAGAACCACGCATCCTCCTGTGCAACTCTTCTCCGTATCTCCTCTCCCCTGCTGATGCTCCCTTCTAGGGAGTATGTAACCACCAAGCTGCAGGAGCGATTTCTCACAGGAGCTCTTGTTGCAGCAATTCTCCTCTATATAAATAATTATATAGTCACTAGGGGAGACTGAGGTTTAGAGTGTTTTTCTTCAGTCAGAACACTACTACAGAAAGTGGCCCATGTGATTAAGATTTAACATCGGGGCTCAGAAGGCTACTTGGCATGTATGTATATGTAAAGTTACCTTAGTCTATCCTTTCCTTAGCAAGCAGATTCCACAGGGGGCATTATGGAGAGAAAATACTGTGAATTAAATGCTTAGTTTAGCAGTCAGATAAGAGAATATTTTTAATCCAAGGACAAGACTTGAAGAGTTTGCAGGTCAAATTTGCTGAACCATTTCAAGGGTTTGGACCTTGAATGATGAGCACTAAAAGCATGATCTGCTATCATTTTAATGTAAAATAAGTCATTTCTAGCTAGCAGCTGTAGGAGATTCTTAATCTCTCAAAGGACTCAGGAGCTGACTAATTTGACACTGCATTGGCACTTAGCACTTGAATGGCTTGCAAAAAAGCACATCACGCAAAGGTATAATTCAATTTGGATTGACCGGACTGATACATAAACAGGAAATGTTTTCTGACATGTAGACCTCCGTGCTACTATCTGCCAAACAATGAAACACTGCAAGGGCTATGCAGAAAGACAATTTCTTCCAAGAAAATTCATCCCGTACAAATCAGGCCCTCCTTTTCAAGTGGTAATTTGTAAGTAAGAGGAAGGGAGTTTTGGCTTTTAAGCTAGGAACTTGCCAGAACTAAGGACACCCTTTTGTGTGTGTATATGACTGCGTTAAGTCTTCATGCAAGCTCAACTCACATAGCTCTTAGCAGCCTATATAGATCCCCAAGAATTGCTGTGGTTGTAAGAATGACAATTGTATCTCTTGTCCTCAAAACCTGCTGCAAAACCTATATTCTTTCTACCTAATCCACGTGACAAGACTTAAAACAGTCTAGTAAGGGAGACGGAGTGGGGAGACCAGATCCAGAATGCCCAGGAAACAAGTATTTCACCTTGTTTAACAATATTTAGTACCAAATGGCTACATTTAGTATGTTCATACCTGCACAAGAAGATGGAGTACCCCAGCCTCTTTAGGGTATTCCTTTTGGATGAACATGCTAACAGAGGGTAAAACAAAAAGAGATGCATGAGGTGGCCAGGACTAGTTGTAGGGTGTAGGCAGTAAAAACAACCTACAGCTAGCAGGTCTCCATTTACCAGCCCAACCCATGAAACCGCTGAAGTTGTTCATTTTCTCACTGAAAGTCTTGTTTACCAGTCCCTTCTTCTCATAAGAGCAGGAAGATGTGAGACAGGGAATACTCTACTATCTTGTCTTTAGCAAAGAAAGAGTGTAGTCCATCTTCCTTTTGTCTCTTTTTTCAAGATAGCATGGAGGGTGGAGCAAAGCTCATCACATCTCTGAAATCCCATGTTTTTGGGATTTTTGTTTCACCGAACGTGGTGAAACTTTTTGTTTTGTTGAAGGATGAGCATTTATAGGCTTTCCAGCAGAAAGAGATACAGAGTTTGAAATCCTGATACTGAGTGGCAGATTAATAACAGACAAGGCAAATTTCTTGTGGAGGTGCTGCCTGTGGTAAATTTTCATCGAAATGAAGACATTTCAGCAAAACACTTCAGTTTCATCGAGTCAGCGTTTTCCGACAAAAGCGCTTGCATAGGCTTATAAGGCATTCTAGTAAGGGGTGAGGTTTGGATTCCACCCTTTTAGACAAGGTATTTGGTCATATTTTTGTTGGCCAGAAAATTGATATTTGGCCTAAATGGCAATGTGCAACTCTGCATTAGAATTGTTCTACCTGTACCACAGCAGAATTCTACTTATCTCACTTGAGTCTGATTTGCACCATAGCAGTGCCCACCACTGTAACCCTTTTTGTCAAAGGGACTGACTGCACCTTCAGAAGAAGCCTTTTCTGCCTCAGAGTTTACAACCAAAATAGGAACAGACACTTGCAAAAGCATTACACTTCAGAAAAACTCTTGCTTATTTTTCACTGCAAGTACTTACAGAAAACTAATGGATGTTTATTGCTCAGCCTGAACAGATTTTTGCTATGGCGAGAGGAAAGACAAAGGACACTAAAAATCTCATCACTGAGGTACCACCTTCAAATGTTACTTAGACTCGTCTGCAGACCCCTATGACTTACCCCCCATGTTCCTCTGTTGTCAGATAATCTGAATTCCTGGTGTTTAGTACATAGCTTCAAGTACATAGCTTGAACTCCACTATTTAACTGCAGCTTTGGACTATCTATGTCCCTGCCATGATGTTGTGCTAATTGGCAACCAGTCTCTTTTGATATACTCGCCTAAAAGGATAAGTTCCTTTGACATTTCCACTTCTTGGATTTACAGTCCAGTCTGTGTGCCTTGGCATGCGGGCCGGGCATTGATAACCCAGCCCCATGCTGCAGATGTTGGGATGCAGGGTGGCCGAGCAGTGAGAAGAGGTTTATGTGTGGATCAGTAAATGAAGGCTGCTCCTACATGATTTAAGCTAAGCACCCAAGTCCGTTTTCACAAAACGGGTCTAATAGTTCAAATCTAAATTGATTGAGCAAGATCTTTTGGTTTTCATTTATAGGAATTAATTAGCACCACATGAATTGATTGGGCTGCAATGCCCGCAGGGGCAAGGCAGGCTTACCCTAAAGGCATGTTAGACAGGCCCTGCTGTCATCCGCCTCCTCCGGGCTTGGATTTTCTTTGAATTGAAGAAAGTCAATCAAAAACATGTACTAGTTTCACAGGGAAAACAGAGTAAGGCCAAACATCCCTTACTTCAATTGTGATCTGAATAGGATTTGATTATATTCTTAGTAGGATCTTAGTAGTATTATTATATTCTTAGTAGGATCTGGACCATTCTGAGCAAACATTGGGCTGAGGCTGCTTTTGCCTTCACAGAGACAGTTTTTCTCATAAATGTTGCTCTGGGTTTATTAAAATGGTGAAACTCTGAAACATTTAGTCTGTGTTTCCATTAGTGTATGCTTTCCCCTAAATAGGGTTATGATTGCCATTTCCAGAGCTGTCACGCTGCATAGTAATAAATATCTGTATCTTGGCTGTACCCAGACAAGAAAACAGCAGTTATGAAAAATCATTGTCTACAGTTTCAAAACGCTGCGAAGTCTAAAAATGTAAAATCATTTAAGTCAGTGTACACAGGCTGCAAGCTCTCTCAGGATCTTAGGATTTATATGCAATGGTGTGTAAGATCTCTAAACGTTTCTTAAGCTTATATTAATGTTAAGCTTTATGTCATGCTAGATCACGTGAGGGGTTTTTGCATCATGAAAAAAAATTGCCATCCATGACTCTCTAATCGTGGACCCCTGATGCAAGTAAAACTTCATTGAAGTTTTGTTTTCTTTCTTTCTTATTTGCCAAGAAAGTGAAATAGAGACGACAAAGTAACGGAAAATAACTATTTTGAGGGGTTTTTTTTCCAGAACTTTCCATGAATCATCAGCAGCTATTGGAAAAAAATATTCTGCTAAAAATATTTTGTACTCCCCTTTCTTTCTTCTCCATGCCAGTTGACTTCAAGCAGCTATTTGCCAGAGCAAAGAATCTGGGATAAGGTGGGATTTCTGTAAGGAAATGGCCCACTTAAGTTCCTGGAGGGCTAGGGGAAAAGGTGGAGGGAATTTATTTAATCCACAAACCGAAAGACACACAGCTATGTTATAAACAAAGCTCTTCCAGTTTTGCTGCTGGTGGTCTGTTGTTCAATTACCTTTACTCTTCTTTCCCAGGTAAAGGGTCTTTCTCTTTTACTTTGGTTTTAGGCCACCCAGCTGTGTGTATAACATGCAGCTGGAGGGATCTAGCCCTTCTAGCCGTTATAGACTTGCTTTCTGCTAATCTTTCCTACCTCGGTGCGAGTACTGCAGGAAGCACAGTACTACATAAAGCCCAGGTGACACTCTTGCTTAAATCAAACCCAGTGTGAGCACAGGGGGTTTTTGTGTCAGATTGTGATTTTTTTTTTTTTTTTAAATAAGAATTTGTTGATGTCATCTTAATCTTAGCTAACCTTGCCTCATAAATCTTCTGAGTTCTGATAACCTTAGTGGGTTAGAGGTTGATTATAACACCCAGAGACCGTAAGCCAGAAGGTGATGCAGGTAGTAAAAAGATGAGGTAATTTGTGGTATGCTGCAGTGGGAACCCACTTATATTCATTATTTCACAAAGTACATGGGACAGGCAACATGGTCAAGCTGCCTCCCTGAAAGACAAGAGCAAGTTAATTATTTAGCCAACAAAAAGGCAGGGAGAACAAACTCTGTAAATGTTAGTGTTTCTGCAAAAGGGAAATGCACAAGCTGATTTTTTAAGTCCTTTCTACAATTCAAACTCAACCTGCAGCACTCACTGGTACAGTCTAGCAGCAGCAGAATGGGACAAATTCTCTTATATTCCCCAAAACAAAATACCTGAGGCCTATAATACGCTTTGCACCTTGAGGAAGTCCTGCGGGGTTTTGACCTGCCTTAATGTTTTCCACATACTAAGGATCAATCATCTCAATCAGAATGAAGAGAAGACATGGAGAAAAGATATGGGGGAAATATGAGAGCCCTGAGAAGCAAGAGACCTCATGTGCTTCTCTTCAAGGAGTTGAACATTCTTTGTGAAGCTATTGGAGAAACTCAAGTTCTTCATGCAAAACAAATGTTTAAATGTCTATAGAGTCATGGCATAACCCATGCCTTTGCTAATCACACACTGTATTTTATTTTGTTGCAATTCAAAAGAGTTGCTTAAAAGCTGTTCACACCTCATGGAAATGTTTTTAAAACTGTTAACCCACTGCTGATACTTATCCCCTTCTGGAATCAGTGTCCTCTCTGACAACCCAGGGGCCCGCTGTGGAAATAATTGCGATATTGCGAACGCAGAATTACAAACATGGGAAAAGGACAAGGAAGAAAAAGCCTATGATCTAAAGAAATGTAGATCATGGTGTCCTGCAAATTACAATGCTTTCACTGAGGAAAAGAATTATAGAAAAATTAGGCAGAAATAAGGAAAAACAGATTCTCTCATATTAGAAAAAGGAGCTCTTTAAATATGTGCTATATGTGAAAAGTTTTGTACCGGAAACAGATTTTGTTCTTTTCTGTAGATACTTCCCTGTAAAATACAAAACACTGATATTTGGAGAAGACCCAATAACAACAGTTCACAGGCCAGCAGTCTGAAGAATTGTCTCAAGATTATACTAGAAAAACCTGTCATCCCTTGCCTTGCTTTGCATTTTGATGTACTCCTTGGAAAGATGTTAGCTCTGAACATACGAACACTGCATCAGCAAGACAACATCAAGACAAAATATCCTCAGCCACAAAAACTTAAGATTCAGAAAGATTCACTAAGACTCGGGATTTCAGAAACACAAATAGACATTTTTTGTTGTTGAAGATCTTTTCAGAAAGAAGCTAGATATCTACTATCAATAAACTACTAAAAAATGCAAAAATCAGAAACTTGTAAATTCCCATCCTCTCCTCTTTGAGCTCGGTAAGCAATTCTGCTTTTGGTCCTTTTATTTGATAGTTCTGTGAGGATGTGGGTGGGCTCAGCTCTGCAGCCCATCACACCGAGCCAGGCCATGGTGGGACCTGGAGCTTTGCACAGGAGACTTAGGAGGTGGTGGAGAGGCTGCCCCAGCAGAGGCACTGGCACCAGGTCTTCTCAGCCCCTCAGCCCCCCAAAAGAAGGCACTTTTGAGCAAAATTTGTAAAGCATGGGGGCAAAAGGTGAAACAAACCCCCCTCTATCTGTGCATGCAATTTCCAAATGCATCTGAAGAGAAGTCAAATTAAAAGAAAGCTCTTGGGTCTTATCTTGGAGGGATACTTGTGGCAGGAGAAAAATCAACCTCTTAGTTACATCAGGTTGATCCATGTGCAGTCTTAGCAGCATGCTCCATCTCTCCCCTTTCATCCAAACAGAATAATTTGTGCAAAATTAATTCAAAGCTATACCTGACCTTCTCCCTCCTGATGATCAAAGTGAGGAAAAGTAGTGGAAAGGATTGAAATGTGGGGGTTTTTGTTACCTGTTACATCAGCAGTGGGGATGAAGCAGAGCACCACGAGGATCCCCAGGAGCATGGTGCTAATGGTGGGCCCAATGCCTTGTCCCCACCCCCTGCAGGCACTGCCACGTCTCCCAGGGCCCTGTGCCACCAGCCTTCCTTCCCCGTGGGGCCAGGCTGCACCCTCGGTAGCTCACACAAGTTCTCTCCTCCTCCCTCCGCAGCACATGATGCACAGCCAAGTGAAACCACTGTAATGGCAATGCTTGAACAGGAAGTTAAATTGTTTGATGACTTTAGCCTTAGGAAGTTGCCTCTGCAAAGCTCAGTAACGCCTAAGAGGTAGTGAAAGCTCACCTTTCCAAATACGGACTCTCGTCCCCATATCGCAAAATGTGTGCTTGTGTTTAGAGCTCTGCAGGGCTGTTCCTATCAGGGAAAAATGGATTTCCCTAGAGGTGCAGCGCTGTTTCTTTACCAAGAGTAGATACAGATGTACACTGTTCCCATCATCACTTGGAACCAGCAGGTTCCAAGATCCTGGTGGCCAATTGTGACCCCTCAGGAAGTTGTGTGCTCGGGAAGCTCTATTTCTCCTCACTCCTAGGAGCAGAAACCTTTCCCTCTTGGCCTGCCGGCTTGCTTCTGCCTGTCTTCCCAGCCCCTGGGACGCTGACATATTCTGGCAGTAGATTAGTAGAGTAGGAAGAGACTCTGCTCAAGGAATACCACTAACAAAACCCAAGAGGGATCAGTGTGCACTCTCCTCAGTGTGGCCATGGACCCATTTATTCCTTTCCACTCCTTGTTGCTCCTCATGTGTAATTGTGAGGACAGACCAAGACACTGATTGCAAACAGGGACTGGACTGGTGGAATAGAGGAGAGGGAAGAGGGACCACTGAGAAATTATCCACTGTGGCCCTAGAGACCAAGCTGTGATGTATCATTTCTCTCTGTGCTGATGAACAGTGGTACCAGTATTGCTTTTTCCAGAGCCTCTGGTCCTTCAGACATGATTTTAGCTTTGCCTAATGGTTTTTCCTTTGATCTCTGGAGTAAGGAAGGACTGGTTTTTTTTTCCCAAAATAGCTCTTGGCTCATCTGCACTTCTTGGTTTTCTAGGATTTTAAAAGGGCACAAATAATCATTGTGTTCCCAAGGGTATGGCTCCTTTCCTTCTCCAAGTTGCAGCTCTTGCTCTAATTTAAACAGTTCATTTCCGATCATTTAGATACTTGACTTTTTCAGTTCACATGTGTGATCTTTTTCTGTTGCCAAAGTTATGATAAGGGTAAGGGAAGAAGATATTATAGCTTTCAGCAAGCTGTCTTGTACTTAGGGCAAACCACATAAAAGTTTACCTAGGAAAAAACAAAACTGAAAATGTCCCCTGATATGCCCTCACTCTTAATTTCTTGCTATTCTCCCACCTCTCTAAGCATCTCTCCTATACCGTGAGCATTATGCGAGGGTGTTCTGCAGTAACATTATTCAAGCACCATTCACTCCTATACTTACCCCATTTTCCATTCAGATTTCTGTCTGTTGAGTCTGTGTGCTGGCAGACAGGCTCTGCTTGCTGTCACAGTGATGCAAATCCAGACTAATGTTATAGTGTCAGTGGGTCTAGAGCTGTGAGAGCACTGAAAGAGCTAAAAATGCATTTTTGCCATGTTTGGGAAAAAGAAGGTTTGCATTCCATCACAAAATGGTGGAAATTGCAGTCCAAGAGAAGTAAATGAGAGGTTTATAAATGGGTTTTCAGGGTACACAAGAATCTAGACTATGGGCTTGGGCTTTTTACTCATCACAGTATGTAAATAAAGTAACAGCCCAGGCTGTTCATGCCTACTGTTAGAAAACGAAGCACTGACAGGAGCTATAACCTGAGTTTTAGAGAAATGCTGACATGACCTAGTATGGTTTCTCAGAGGATTATCTGGATATCTTTAAAAGAGTCCCAAAAAAATCCAGCTGCCAGTTTGCTTTTATGCTAAAGAATGAGGAAATAATGGCCCACATATCCTGAGCCAAGTGTTCCACTGTTGAAGTCAAGGAAGAGATTCCAAATTTGTTATGATTAAATAAGTGGATAGTTTAAAAGCCAATTTTAAAATAAACAAAGTCTTCCTTCAATCATTGGAAGTTGTATAGTGACATAATTGTTCCCAGCACATACTCCTGTTCTCAGGCAAATAAAAATGTACATGTATATTTGAAAAGTAATTGCAACACTGTACTATCATTCACTTATTCCTGAGCATTCCAGTCTAATGGGAGAACAGTAGGTTACTAAAATTTCCACTTAAGTACTATAGACAATTAACTTTTAAGTCCCTGGACAATCCTGCAACTCCCTGCAAATACTAAATTTAACAGTTGTCTGAGAGAATCTTTCTCTTTCTTTCCCACTGTGAAGGACCATAATACAGACCTTGAGCAAGTAGTCTGGGTAGGCTTTATTCTGCTTGTTCTGCATGCTTGTATGTCGTCAGCTGCTGGAGTAAATGCTATCTTTCCTACAACTGTAAATCTTGAAACACCTTTATTCTTCCATTGCTGCTGCAAGTAATGATTTGCTATGATTAGTGCTATGCATACTTAGGACAGGTGGAAGGAGAATGTGCTTTAACTAGCTGCTGTAGATGTGCAGGAGTGGCGTGACAGAAAGAGCTAAACAAAGAGTCGTGTTATTTCTGACTAGGAAGACAATGGATGATCTATGCTATTCATTCTCTACTGTGTCCAGTAAGCTAACCCTAAGGAGTTAGTTTGCATTTGTCATCTGAAGAACTTCATAAAGTTACATGTTGTTACCTTCACTTTATGGATGGAGAATGGAATCATAGCAAGTGGAAGAGACATGCCCGAGGACATACCTTGAATTAGTGGCAGAGCTAGGAACCTCTACGAGTAGCCCTGTGCTCTCTGACTTCCAAAGACTGATCAGGTTTCTGACAGTCTTTGTTCTATGTTGTTGTTTCCCCTGCACACCCATGAATTTTCACCTTGTTGTGAGTCTTTTCTCACCCTTCTTTTTGTAAATCCAGGTGCCTTCATACCACAAGTACAACCATCACATTTAGAAGGGAAAATCAATATTCTCCCTCAGAGGGAATTTTAAGTTGTTTTTTTGTACTTTAAAATGTTACAACTGAGGTCTGGTACATAGGAAACTTCCAGGGCCAGAGCTTAATATGACATGTCACCATGGAAAGGGAGCTTTCTTTTTTGGAAAGATGTGAAATTTTTGTTTCCAGCCCTCAAGATAGCAGCCCATAAATGTGTCATTAATATAGGACTAAGTGCCACCATCAAACACATATAAATTTGAGAGAGAGTTTGAGGGAAGCCTTCCGTATTTGGGGAAAGAAACATTTCCCTGACACGCTGATTATTTTTAATGCCAATAGCTGGAAGCTGTTCATTAGTGTTTGTAGGGAAAGGGCAGGAGTTCACACATTCCTGGCTCTTTTCAAGTTAAAAATCTCATCCAAGTTTCAAAGTTGTAACCATTTCTTCTGGCTGTACCTATTCCTCGTTTGGACTGTTAGAACAAGTCTCAAAGGAGGTGAATTAATGGGTAGAGAGGGAATGTCTCAAAGCTGCATGATTAACTCCATCTATCACCCGCCTATAATATGACATATGGATGCTGTTTCATTAGTGGTCACATGTTTAGGTAGGAACACCTGAAATAAAGCCCACAGGTGAGTACGTATATGCTAAATGTTCTGTGATAAAAGAGTTTTCAGAATAAAATTAGAGGGAGAATAATTTCTGTTACTGCACTGCCTGCTCCTTGTTTGTCTGGGATAGAAAAGGTAGTGAGACCCCTGCATATTGCCATTGGAGCTGACAAATTCGTTCCAGTTTACTGGAACAATGCCCTGATGCTTAGGACTAGTAGAGCAAAGAGACTCTGAAAAAATAATTCTTAGCTCTTCTCAGCCTCTGTTTTAGAGCTGCTGCCAGGTAGCTGGAGGGAGCTGGGATAGCTCTTCCATTTCTGCAGTGAATGATCTTCTACCCTTCCTATGGAGAGGAGCATGGGAAAAGTTGGAAAATAGTGAGTAAAGACATGAAGGATATGGCAACAAAGCAGTTGTGACCTGTATACGAGGTTCAGAATGCCTCATTCTTTAAGAGGGAGACAATTTCTTTCTCTCTTCTTTACCCTGCTGAAAACAAAAGGTATGAATGAGCAGGAATATTACAAGCAATTTTAATTAAGAGAAAGCATCTTCCAAAGAATTTAAGGCCTAGAAATCTTGAGCAGACAAATTCGTAGACTTCAGCGTTGTGCAAAAAGACAGCTTCCAGAACTGGCTGCCTACAGCTCATCCAGAGAAGTTACATAGATCTCTAAATATCAGTAACAACATTTCTGTCTGCTAGGGCTGTGTTTTTTTATCTGAGGGCAAAGTGGAGTATCACAGACCTCCTGCAAGGTCTGAGGGTGTGTAGAGTGCTGCTGAGGGAGCAAGGCTTTCTGGGGCTGTGCTGAACTGCAGTCTCATAGAGCAGGAGTCCAAGTCTGGGAGGTACATATCCAATATGATCTGCCTGGTCTGCCAGCTGCGCCAGCATTTCCTTTTGGAGAGAAACAATTGACCAAAATTATTGCTGCCAAAAGCAGCACGTGAACAGTATGGGTAATCAGGAAACCAGAGCCCTGGGGGTGAAATAAGAATGAAATCAAACTGGCAGTGTACACACTTGAGTCACTTGGCAAACGTTACCCGTAGTAAGGGAATGCTGTAGCTGGGATTTCCAGGGAATTGTCTGCATTGCCTTTATTTGTAGAGAACAATCTACATAGCCTCTATTTATGGATAAACCTTAGCTAGAGAAAACACTTCCACCTCCACTGGTTTTAGCATAACCAGGACAGCCCAGGCTCAGCTCAGAATATTAAGTTTTAAGGCTGTCGTGGTAAGGTCCATTTTTAAAAGTTTAACTCTTTTACTTCCTCATTGTTTTAATTTTTGTCTCACCCCAGTGTTATGTTTTATGAAGACAGTAGTAGTGCTATCCACATGGTACCTGTACGGTGAAGCACCATCCATTTACAGTTCTTCCCATTTACAGAAACTTGGAAGGAAACATCACTCATGGTTATGAACAATTGAAATCAGAACAGAGCACTCCATACAAT